CACGTGTATCGGACCCACATAGTCGATAGCCAGCAATAATTGGTTTTTCTTCAGAGTGCGCTTCGATTTTGTCGCAAATGGCTTCTGCGCAAGTTTCCCGCTCACACAAGTTGGACACAATTGGTTGATAGACCCGTACCATGGAAGACTCAGGTCTTCCAGCAACTGGTTCACGCTTCGAAGGTTGAGATGGCCAAGCCGCTTGTGCCAAGACTCAATGTGCGGCGTCTCAGCCGTCACCATCGCAGCTTCCTCCACAGCCGGAACTCCACTAGTGGCCTCGACCACATACATCGGGTGGACCTCCCGTGACGCCAGCAGCGATACCCCGCTTGGTGAGCGAATAACACACGAGACGCTCTTGAACTCGACGGTCATGCCGTGGTGCGATGCTGCGGCCACTGACACCAGATTGCGGGCCAGTCCTTTTACAAATAGCACGTCTTGCAGCACACACACTGAGCGCCCGTTATTCTCCAATGGCGCTTGCCCAATTGCCGTTGCTACCAAGCTGTCACCAGAGACAACCGTCAGCACACGAGGTTCCAGCAAGTCACGCACGTTGACCAGGTTGTCGAGATGACCGGTCATGTGGCTCGTAGCCCCGCTGTCCATGATCCACCCTCTTTTGTTGTCGTCAGTCACATCGTCCACAGTGAACGCCATGCTGGCAGCCTCCGCCTTCGGCGGAGCTCGTTCAGCCTTGCAGTCACGTGCGAAGTGTTCCTTCTTCTCGCAGTTAAAACAATTTACCTTGCTCATGTCCCGTTTCTTCTTCGTCTTGGTCTTTTCCTTCCCAGTCGCTGATTCCGCACTGAACGCAGCAGCCACTTTGCTGCCGTTAGATCCAACCGTAGCACGTCGATCCTTCTGTTGTTCACAGCGGATTGCCTCCGCTTGGCAACGCTGGATCATGAGCTCGAACGTCGCACAGGTCTCGAGCACCCCACACTGGCACTACACTTGACATTGTATGTCATCCGAAGGTGGCGAAGCATCGCCATCGGGTGGTCTAGCAAATAGACCTCGGCAGCGATCTTCTCGTTCAGTGCCGCGAGAATGATCGATGAAGCCATCTTCTGCCTAATCACGAGATCACGAAAAGGCGTTGTCGTCTCACCTACCACTGCCTTCACTTGTGCCACAGCAGTAGCCGTTGGCGTCCCTGACGCCGTTGACGGTTCCGACCCGGCAGCCGCTGCCGGATGCTTCTCAGCCTTCAGCTCTTGGTCCGTAGGCATAGGTAGCTGGATAGCATCCCACAGCCCCTTGATCTCCAGCACCAGTTTGACCTGGACGCCCCACGCCGTGAACCCCGTTCCGTTGAATTGCTTCCGCTTAGTCGTGTAGGACGATGCCGATGTAAGGGACGTCATAACCTGTTAAAAGTTGGGCCCAGAGGAAGTTGGCGGTCGAAGAGGTGGAGGAGGAGCTTGAGCTCGAGAAGGTAAGATGAAAAGTGAT